CGGTCATTCACTTCCGCCAGACATTTAAACCAAAATTTAAATGGACAAAAAATTTCACATAATGTAACAACTCTGAATACAAGAAAAATTGCGTACAATAACACCTTTAAACTCTATCGATATAATACAAAAGCCATTCGAACACTCTCGCTAACCGTCACACCTGACTGAACAACAGGTTAAATGGTGAGAGCTGGCCAAGTTCAGAAATAAGAACGAATACGTATTCAATAATAAATTTACCTAAAAAAAAACATATACATAACGAACATTAATAATATTATAAGTAAGTACTTACCACGGACCTGTCTTCATGCCAAAGTCAAGATACTGATTGTATGGCAGCTATTTGCATGTGTACTAGCTGCTTCAATTGTAGAAACATATCTGGAGCTACGCTTCTCTGCCGAGAATGACCAGGCCTCAATTGTTCTGGTCGGCCAAGCTATTTTGCAAGGGCTTATGGGTAGATAGGGCATAGGGACAAAACACGGGAAATACAAATAACATCTACAAGTATAATAGTGATTGTTACAAATACGTCCTTGAATATATCTAACAATCTTCACTTCTCCCACCCTGAAATCCTTCTTCTTTCATCATGTTAAACTGAAATTCACAATACATTTGATCTTCGAAACAGTGACAACAAAATACTACTTGATACCTTTATTTAGAATTGAGGTAAATATATAAATATATCAATTACATGCACATAATATAGAGAATTGTAATATTACGATCACACATATATGTATAGGCAACACCCAGTTAACCAGTAGGAAAAATCTTACATTTTTTTAGCTAAATATATAACTTATATGTCAGAAAAGCCACTAATATTATGCTCTTATTTTCATTGAAAAAAAGGTCAACGAGTATTAGACCACAAAAAAAAAAAAAAAAAAAAAAAGAAAAAAAAAAAAAGGAAAAAAAGAAAAGAAAAAGAAAACAGCGCTCATCTATGAAGTTATTTTGACTGTGACGTATACACATTTAAAATATTCCTTTCTGAAAAGGGGTTATTCGTTTAACTTTGTTTAAAAAAAACCCCATAAAAACATCAGCAAGAATACAACTCTTCTCTCAAGGAAAAAGATATCACATATTCGAGTGGCATTTTACAATATTTTTTATTTATTTTTACTCTTTATTCATAACCTGATATACATTTTATCAATTCATGTCAACAACACGATTCTAGCAGCAGGATCAAAGTACAATGAGTTACAAGCTCTTGAGATCGACAAAAAAATTGCGTTTCAAAGTATGCACCGTAGTGTGCATACCTTTGCATCCTTGTTGGCAGAAACGACAGAGAAAATACTGATCTGGATTACTGTCTTCGTTATAAGAAAAGAAAAATCATGAAAATAATCCAGCATACTTATTTGTAAGCTTTAATTCCTTATGGATCACATGTTATATTCACTTTATATGTTTTTTTTTAAACTCCCATTTCATATGTTTGTGCTGATGGACTCTCATTCCATTTCGATTTCACTCGGCAAATATTTGATCATTGTAAGACCATGGGTCAAATATTTAACCCCCATGACGAATACTTCGCTATTTATTGCCTTTTATAGATTAAAATGTCGATTTTGTTTACATTGTGGCTTGCATCATTTCATTTTTATTTCTAGGTCTTGAAAATAATATTTACATAAAGAGAGAGATCGCTGTCGCTAAAATTCAAGTCATATAGCTTACTAAGATGTTATATTCTAAGGGCATGTTAGAATATCTTACATTACTATAATTATATTGTTTTAATATACCCGCTTACGTATTGAATATTTTTTTTTTCATTTTTTGTTTATTTGTTTTTTTGTTTGTTTGTTTGTCTTTTTTTTTTTTTACTTTTCGAGGTAAAAAACACATACATGTATTTTCAATAATATAAAAGTACAATGTAAGCTACTAAGGGGCCAACTCTCCAAAACACTGTCTGAATACTTCGACAATCACAGTGAAGAGGTTGCTTCAGAAGTTTTAGTAGTGTAAAACTGGAGATTAACAATTTGTTTGCACACTACGGCATGAGACGTTAGAGGAGAATCAAAACAAAATGTGAAATCCTTTATCATCTAAAATACCAATTATTTTATTTTTGCCTTTTACTTAATTATACATGTATAAGAAATGCATGATTAAAATGTAAATGAAACTCTTAGATTTTTTTTTTAAATAATTACTTTTTTTTCATTTTATTTTTTGACTCCTGTTAGGTTTCTACATTTTTAACAATTTTACGATAAAAAATATTATTAATCGTGTTTCGTTTGTTTGTATGTTGTTTAACGTCCCTCTCGAGAATTTTTCACTCATATGGAGACGCCACCACTGGCCGGTGCAGAGCTGCAAATTTTGTCCTATACTCGGCACTTACGGCCATTGAGCAGTGAGGGATCTTTTTCGAGCCAGCACCTACTGCGACACGGGACCTCGGTTTATACGGTCTCATCCGACGGACCGGTCTCCACGTCCCACGGCAGGATTCGAACCCGCGACGTAAGGATCAACTGCTTACGCCACGACTCTAGAGCAGACGCTCTAACCACTGCGCCACGCGGGCGACAATCGTGTTTCGTAAACACGGGTAGTAAAGTATAGTGTGGAAAGTTATCAAGTTCATCCTTTAAATCATTTGATCTTTATTATGCATTGTAAAGAACTCTTTATCTCCTTAAAAAACTGATCTCATTTTCTCTATAAAATTGATTTATTGATTATATGTTGTTTTACGTCCCATTCGATGATGTTTCACTCTTATGAAGACGTAACAATATATGTAAAAGTAAATGGCTTTTACTCTGCACTCAGGGTGAATGAGCAGTGGTGGATGTTTAACCGGCCAACGCCTGCCGTGACAAGGGCCTCAAACTCAAAGTAAAGGAGAAAGGCGATCTTAGTACGTTCTTAATGTGTATTATGTTTAATTTTTTTGTAACACTGTAACGTTATACATGTAGGAAAAACAATATAGATATCCATAATAGATAGGTTTGCGCAGTACTCAGTTATAAATTTAATATCGCATATTTCAGCTGTGTGTCACGGATTTGTATTAAAAATAGAATAATTAAGATGAATGAACGTATTGACACGGGTGCGAAGGAATACAAATGTTTTTGTTTTTGTTTTTGTTTTTTTTTTTTTGTTTTTGTTTTTTTTATTTGTTTGTTTTTTTTTTGGTTTTTGTTTTTTTTTTTGTTTTGTTTTTTTTTTTTTAAGAAAAAAAAAATAAAAAAGTAAAAAGAAAAATGCATCGTTTAAAAGAAAAGTGCTGGGAAGCAGTTTCAACTGGTTCCGAAGTACTCCTTATTTTGAGGAAAATGTGTTATGGAGTTAAAAATTCCCACCAAGCTTAAATTCTGTTATGAATAAAAAATATATTAAGCAGACCAAAATCAGTTCCAAGCATTTTATACAATATACATGTTATAAACAATTAATACTCTATATTACAGCTCCAAGAATCAAGTCTATGTCCTTGTACTATATTAATCAGATTAATTAGGAATACGCTTATCGCCTATACATTCTCGTGCCGCTATGGTAAACTGATAATCTGTTTAATAATTGTTTTTCAATAAATTATTTTCTTGAGGTTTACTGAAAAGATTTAAAAATTGGCAATGGTTATAAATTTATTCAAGCATTTTCATTTTATAATTATTAAACTAATGGATTTAACCCTCTGGATGAGTTGTACTGCGTCAAGTCAAAGATATCTAACGTTATTCCTGACACAAGATGTGCTTCTAATTACTCGGCAGGATTCTTTTCAAATATTGTGATTTAATATGCTTTTTCAAATAATAAAATGATAAATCAATATAATAATAAAAAAAAAACAAAAGCTAGTTGTTATTTTTCATAAGCCTGTGGATAAATAAGTTTCTGTCTTTCGAAAAATTATAAATAACTTTACACTGAAACTTCCCATCACAAATGTTCGTTATCTTCACCATTTTCATTAGGTAATTTTAATGTCTACATCTTCATAGAACACCTTGACACCTGATTAATTCAAAGTCCATACAATAAATAGGAAATAATTTGTATACCTTGAGTCTACTATCTCTCCCAGCTTGAGTCCTGCATTCCATGTCCGTTCAACGAGCGTACATAATTTTGCAAACCATAACATTTCTTTTTTCATTCATTAAGGAATTTTGATTGATTCATTGCATCTATTCTACGTCTCACTCGAGAATTTCTCTCTAGCTCATAGGTGAAGGGCCACAAGCTTTGACCTATGTGTGGCGCTTATGACTAAATGTCAATGCGCCAATATCGACTGTTTTACGGGGCGTCTAATCATATGTCGTTCACTTTTGATTACAGAATAATAAATTTCTTTGTTTAATTTATGAGATTTTGTGTAGCACCAGGAAAGTGTCAGAAACAGAATCTTCTGATTAAAAAAAAAAGACCCCCCCCCTAAAAAAAACCCGGCAACCTTGCAATTTTATAAAGATATATAAAGGATACGCGGATTATTGAATTCTTTTTTTTTTACATGGTGTTTCGTATCATAGTGGTTTAAGTTTTGAAGTCATAGTTGAACGGTTAGATCGTCAAAGCTTAGCGATTGAGAGATTGAAATTATTGCTGATCTCACTTTCAACAACATAAGTGGAGAACCTTTGGCAGGTTAAGTCTGTACTTTGATTGAATCAAAAGAAAATACAGTATGTAACTGTTGAAAATTCAATATATATTCCCCCATTATTTGTAATTTATAATGAATACGTATAAAGTGTTTCAGGTTCACCTTCTTAACAAACTCCGGGAAATGTCCTTGTAAGTAAATGAACTTTATGAAAATAAATATACACAGTATGTATCAAAATCATAATTGGATCCACTTACCCTTTGAACTGAGTATTAAATTCGGATATTTAATAGTATTTAAGTAAGGACATAATCTTCTTCTGTCTAAGTTTTTCTTCCTTGTTTACACTATACTACAGCCAGGGGTTAAGACAGCCATGTATGTATTGTATGTCCTTGTATGTGTTCTGATGTATTCTCAGGCATACGGTAAGAATAATATCATTTTTGTATTTATTTTTTTTTTATTTTTATTTGTTTATTGATTTTGTAAAAAGGTTTTCATGGAGGTGTGTTGAATGGAGATATGCTGATTTCTTACACTATCTCGTATCTTATTCTATTAAAGATGAGGCCTTTTTCTCATTGTAACATATATTTTGTATGCTATTATATATTTTCTATGACAAAACAGCTTACACGAGAAACAAAGGCCCGGTGCCACAGCGCTCATATAAATAACTATAACTTTGCTATTTTCCCTCATCAAATTGTTTCTATACATTTCACCGTAAAATATAATGTACCTGAGAATACTTCCATATAAATATCAGTAATAATAGCTTTCCTGTTCTTGAGAAGAATATCTCTAAAGTCATTTCCTGTATATATTCAGTTGTAAAAGCGATCTCCAAAGGTAATCCAGCCCTCATTCAGGCGTCTTATCTCTCTCTCTTTTTTTTCTTTCCTTTTTTTTCCCCTTTTTTTAGCATATTTGATTATACACTGCCTCAGAATGCTTCCATATATATTTAAAAATCTTGAAAATAATTAACAATGATCGATCTAAAAAAAAAGCATCCCCATGTTGATCCGTCACATCCGCCGCTATTCCTAAATTGATAGGTAGACCGAACATTCCTTAAACTAATTCAGTATGAAAACAAAGGCCTAACAGTAGGCATGAAATACGTCAGCCAATTTACATGGCATGTTTTTCTTTATCATCGAATTTATGGCATCGGCATATATTTGCCCGAGGCTATAGCTATATTTATAATTTCATCACCTTGCGACAAAGTGTATTGATACACGGCAATTACTGCAGCGATCATAGGTACACATTGTCTTGGCGGTCAATATGTATGTATATAATAAAGCCTAAAAGACCTCTGTATGATTTAAGCAGCAAGTATTTTCACAAAACTATCAGAATATTCTCAAACAACTATAACTGTGGGGCAGGTGAAATTAGGCACTTTATGCCGCCAGTGTCAATTTTCACATGGAACATTTTACAGCATTCGACAATATGTGTCGATTTGAGGCCATATTTGAGTGATATGTGCATATTGTCGCAGAGGATAATATTTACAAAACGACAAAATATACCGTAACAAGTATGGTACATGTGCATGTATTATTTCAAATGATCAAAATTTATGTATGTATTATGAAATGTGTGGAGATAACGAACATTATTCGAGCTCAAAAGTTCATTAAACATTACAAAATAAGAGCAGAGCAAAAACGGACCTCTAAGACATCAGAGTCGGGATCTGGTGCCATGGAGGAGTAAGCATCCCCTGCCAACCGGTCACACCCGCCGTATGCTCCTTGTCATGATCGGGAAATAACGAGAAAATCCGTCGACAATTCAGTGTGTAAATAATGGCCTAACAATTAGTGTGAAAAAAGTCAATCAGCATTTGACTTAATGATAAATTGTATTTGATGAAAGGGTCATTGTATCGACCATAGAACTTACTAAATGATGACTTTAAACGAGACTGCTGATATATTTTTTTTCCCATCAACTTGTTTGTCAATAAATGATCCAAATTTAAAGCAATAATATTTCCATTTCTATTTGTTTTCACTGGGATAACTCTTTGAAAGTTAGTTGAGTTGATTTCTTGATCATTCTACCGGAATGTAAATTTCGCCGAGCGATAGGTCAGGAGCTAAGAAGGCCTTCTATGGCATGTAATTCTTGTGCGGCTGTCTACGTGTTTGACGTCAGTGGGCGGGGTCTATTGAAATTGACATGTGAGGCCTGGTGTAATTTAAATCTATTAGTCTACACTTTTAAAATCTAAATTTACAATTTTATTTCACAATGAAATGAAAATATAAGGAATCACTGTCTAGTTAGTAGAGTATGCCAGGGACATCAACGATAGTTGGAAACGTGGGATAATTTATACATAACGGGCTTCGCCCGTTATGCAAATTATCCCACTTTTCCAACTATCGTTGATGCCCTGGCATACTCTACTAACTAAACAGTGATTCCTTAAATATAAACACTTTAATGGTGGTGAGCATTATCTTACCCAGTGTAGTTTTGACACTATGTAACTGGTCAACTAATACATATAAATGCCATTAACGATAAGGAGTTGTGTTATAAAAGTGGTTGTGATAAGAACATACGTGGATTAAAGCGTCGTCATGTAAAAATTTTAGAAACGAAACCCACTTAAATCAGCTGGGGGATATAGAAATATGTTAAAGAAAAGATTGCACAAAAAAGTTTCTGAAAGAGATTTTTTACAATTCACAGATCGTTTAAAACGATTTTCTTTCGGTGTATCCTGCGCTGAAATATGTGTGCTATCATATAGTGTCTTAAAATTATATGAGATTCTTCAATATTGAACAAGCATTCTGAGAGCATTGCATTAGCAATACTAGTCCCCTACCGGCAAGTGTAATCTGGTTCCCGTTAAGAATTGAAAATGCCATAATTCCGTCAAAAAATAATGAAGCGGGACGAAATGCAAACTTGATCTATAACTAATCAAGGTAAAGCCACATACCAAAAATCAGCTCAATATCTACAAGCGTTTAGAAGAAAATTGCGGAAAACCCGTAAAAATTGAAAAGGCCGTAATTCCGTCAAAAATCAATGACGCGGAACGAAATGCAAACTTGATCTGTAACTCATCAAGATACACTCACATACCAAAAACCAGCTCAATATCTGCAAGCGTTTAGGAAAAAAGTGCGGAAAACCAAGTGGGACAGACTGACAGACAGACGGACAGAGGGACAACAAGACAGATAGACAGACAGACGGACGGACAGACTCAGAGGAAACTTATAGTCCCCTCCGGTTTCACCGATAGGGGACTAATAAAATTAGGTGCAGATACCGTAGAATCAAACAGTCACACTCAAGATTTTATTTAAATAGAGAATAGGGTCAAATGTTCGAAAACTCTAGAGATAAGAGACTTGAAACTTGAGCTCTCATCAACAAGAACAGAATAAGAATCATACAATTTAAAAAAAAAAGATCGAATTGGAACTTTCTCTTTCGTTTCTAATGAAATAACTTCCTCGTCATGTTTTAGCTTTTTTTTTTGTTCAGAACAACTAGATGATTTGAACTGTTTCCTCATTTTAATACACGCGTTTATGCTCAGCTAAAAGAACGGGGAAGAAATATACACAACCATTTAATTATAATTACTGTCATTTCTTTATTTTCGTATATTGCGACTTAAAAATCATATAAGTAAGATCTTTCCACCAAATTTGAATACAATAGTAATCATGCACAATATTTCAGTCAAACATTTCAAACGGGAGAAAGCTTAATATGCATTATTTAAAAATCCTTTTTCTGCATTTTATTTACTACATGCTTTTCATTTAGTCATTTTTTTATATATCTATAAATCCTTTTTTCAGAAAACTTAGCATACCTCAAACCCACATGGCAAAGCTCAACTCATGACTCTGCATATAGCGGTTCATCAAGAGCTGTTGATGGTCGGAAATCAGATCTTTCTTATTTTGGAAAACAATGCAGCGTATCAAGTAATGAACAATATACTGCCACGTGGTGGGTGAACCTAGAAGAAATCCGTGGCATAAACTTCATAGTCATTTTTTACAGAACTGACAATGCATATTGGGGTACGTCAATCTCCTTTGCAGAGTAGTTGTTGCTTCCTCACTCAGGTACCTCTGCAAGAATCTTGTGTCACGATTTTTGACATGAAGTTAAAAAACAAATATTTCACAAATTATTTCAAATTAAACTATAATTTCTAGATCTGCTTAGTATATCGCAACCTTAAAGGGAAAAAAAAAACATAATGAGTTAAAACAAACGCCCCATTTTCCTCTCTGTACTAACAACATTGAGATATTCATTTGAAACAAAAAATGGTTAGATATCTATAAAATTATGTTTTAAGGAATCACATTTGAGATTGCTGAGCATACTAGGGTATTAACGAAAGTTTACGACGGTACCGTATGTGGAAAATCAAATTTTCCCATTTAAACTGTCGTTAAGTATTTATGACAAATCAAACAAACTCTACATTGATTCCTATTATATTGACATTTATACATTTATGTAAAAATATGAATATACATGTATATATATTTTTAAAATTGGTCTGATAAAGAAAAATGCAGAAATCATTCATTTTTATTCACCTAGCCCCGTCCACTTATCATGACGTCAGACACAATGAAATCTACATGTATTAAAACGCTGACATAGATATAAAGCCCTTTGATTTCAATTGGCGATATTGACATTTAATATATATCAAAAACAAATCTACATACTAAACTTTAAATAAATTTTCAATGAGAAAAAATATACATTGCTAAAAGTATTTGCTTCATAGTCAACAAACTATTGTTTAAATTGAAAAAAAAAGCTCCCTGAAAGGTCTTGAAATTCAATTCTGGGAAAATTTCAGATAACTTTCAATTAATTGAATGACATAGCATTTCATGATAATATACATGTATATATATTTTAACGGAATATGAAAAAAAAAAAATCAAATGGAAAACTAAAGATAAAGGTGTTGGCGTACAAGTATGTACAACATGCATTATTAGACAATTTTATAATTTTATCAATTTTCTAGTTTTTAGGTGACTAAAACCATCAATGTTCAATGAAAAAAAAAAAAATGAAAATTTCAGATTCCGGAAATGGTTACACAACAAGATTTCTTGGATTTTATGTGTATATTTCAAATACAACAAACAGATTGGATGGCACTTTGTGTTTTCACGATACAAGCTACACCAGGTCCACGATACCCGCCGTTGCCAACATAAGCTGTCCTGTATATGGACAATACGTCATCTACTATAACGAAAGGCTTCAGGGTGTCAGCTATCCATCTGGATATTCGCAATATGCATTCACCGAGCTTTGCGAGGTGGAGGTTTTTGGTAAGTGCCAAATAAAAATCATATATATATATATTTTTTTCTAAAAATAAAAGTTGATTTGCATTACTATTTTCGATATAAAAAAGAAAAGTTGACCATTTTATAATACATTTTTTATGGGAATTACACATATATTAAGTGTAAGAGAACGCAAAAAATCTTTTAATATACTTCAAGATCTGCTTTAACATTGAAAAAACATCTTGAAGATTGCATGTACATTATATTACACCTGAGTGATTGTTGGGTGATATAGCACTCATAAAATAAACATTTTGATAGAAAAAATGAACCATCACCATTTGTTGCTGAAAAAGATAAGTGTTAATATATATATTATTTAAAGGTTGCTCTGATCCTACACGTTATGGTTCAGATTGTTCACATCAATGTTCTTCAAACTGCCTACAATATTGTCAGATAGACTCAGGAAAATGTCCACAATGTGCGCCTGGGTACAAGGGTAATTGGTGCGAGCAAGGTACGTTTTTTACATTACTTAAAAAACTCATTACATTTTTATTATATTGTAGATGTGGAGTTCCTTAAGATCCGTTTACCATTAAATGTATGATGGACATCAAATGATCTTTAAACCAAGCAAGCAAATTATGTTAATTATGTTCCCCAAACGAAGTTTGGGAACATATTGTTTTTACTCTGTTTCTTATTATTATTATTATTAAGGTCTTCCGTTTTCACGGAAGACCTTATAGTGATTCTACTGTTTCTTATTATTATTATTATTATTATTATTATTTTGACCAAATTTTGTGCAGGCGTTTTCTCGAAAACTATTCAGTGGTTTTTCGTGAAACTTTCAGGAAAAATTAGTCATTGTATGAACTTGTTTCATCACAAGGAAAATTTGGAAAATTCCATTTTGGTTCCAAGTTACGGGCAATTTCCTGATTTTAAAATGAAATTTTGTCCTCGAATGTTCTCAAGAATGACTAAAGATATGAACTGGAGACTTATTGGAGAGCATAGAACGTGACTTCTAAATTTGTGGAATCACATTTTCGTTCGTCGTCGGCACTTCCGGTCGTTTACGGAAGTGATCAAAGAAATCATAAAATTTCAACTTTCTTTTTTTAAATCAATACTTACATCACATTATTGCATCTCTTTTGTAGTTTCGAAATATGTTGGTCCCACCGGAAACAAAAACGACAACTTCCGGTTATAAGAGAAAAACTACATAATTTTAGTATTTTTCTTTCCCATTAACATCCTTTGTAGATAAAGTTTTTGAAATGAATTTTAAATATGTTATTCAAACTGCAGATATCTAGAGTAACATCAAATATCTTTGTAAAATTCACTTCCGGTCGCGTGTTTTCCTGTCCTCAAAATGAGAAGTTGTCTGAGCAAGATCTCGGAAACGGTGAGAGATTAAGACACCAAACTTATATGAGCAACAGACCTTAAGATGTAGGCAAAACCATTTGGGTTCCGAGCGTCAGCCGTCACTTCCGGTCGTCACAGGAAGTGATCAAAGAAATCGAAAATTTCAACTTTTCTTTTTTTAATTAAAAATTGCATCACTTTATTGCATCTTTTTCGCAGATTCGAAAGATCTTGGTCTCACCGGAAACAAAAGCGACAACTTCCGGTTATAAGAGAAAAACTACATAATTTGAGTATTTTACTTTTCCATCAATATTTTTTTCTAGAAAAAGTATCTGAAATGAATTTTAAATATGTTATTCAGACTGCAAATGTCTAGAGTAATCGTAAATATCTTTCAAAAATTCACTTCCGGTCGCATGTTTTCCTGTCCTCAAAATGTGAAGTTGTCTGAGCGAGATCTCAAAACTAGGTAAAAGATTAAAACACCAAACTTTTATAAGTAATAGACCTTGAGGAGTAGGCAAAACCATTTGGGTTAAACGCGTCAGTCGTCACTTCCGCTTGTCACAGTAAGTGATCAAAGAAATCTAAAAAAAAATTAACTTTTCTTTTTTAAATTAATCCTTGCATCACTTTATTGCATCTCTTTCGCTGTTTAGAAATATGTTAGATTCCACCGGAAACAAAAACGTCAACTTCCGGTTTTAGGAGATAAACTACTTTACTTTGATATTTAACTTTCTCATAAATATTGCTCATCGATAAAGTACTTGAAATGACTTTATGTATGTTGTATATATTGCAAATGTCTAAAGAAAAGTCAAAGATTTTTATAAAATTCACTTCCGGTCTCTTGTTTACCTGTCCTCAAAATTAGAATTTGATCTCACAATATTGCTCGGCAACAGTAAACGACTGAAGTCTAAAACTTTCAAGACTGATGGTCAGTCATCAGTTATATGAATCGTGAGAAAATCTTGTATAGCCGTTACTTCTGGTACTTCCGGTCGTGACCGGAAGTGATGTAAAAAATGAATGGTTAACGTTAGCAAGTTGGATTTTCACGCTGACGACAAGGGTTAAATTTACAGAGTGTCTGAATTTCTTTTATCTCTTTTTCAGCTTGAATTTTCGTTTTTATTTTCAGAATCGGACGGAAGACCTCTCATTGCTCGCAATGAGTTTCTAGTTAAGGTCTTCCGTTCCAGACGGAAGACCTTATAGTGATTGTACTGTTTATTATTATTATTATTATTATTATTATTATTATTTTTTTCCCCTTTTTTTGTCGGCAGGATTTCTCAGAGATGACTGGATGGATTTTCCTGAAATTTTCAGGGTTGATAGAGAATGAAAATACCCCGAGGCGTTTTTTTCATTTTGTCAAAATTCACTTCCGGTCGTCAGATATGTCCGATTTCCGTTTTTTTCAAAAATATTTTTTCCGAGTGAGATCTCAGAAACGGTAAGAGATTAAGACACCAAACTTATACGAGTAATAGATCATGAGGAGTAGGCGAGCCCATTTGGGTTAAGCGTGTCAGCCGTCACTTCCGGTCGTCACAGGAAGTGATCAAAGAAATCGAAAATTTCAACTTTTCTTTTTTGAATTTTTTTTTGCATCACATTATTGCATCTTATGTGTAGTTTCGAAATATGTCAGTCCCACCGGAAACAAAAACGACAACTTCCGGTTAGAAGAGGAAAACTACATAATTTGAGTAATTTACTTTCCCTTAAATATCTTTTGTAGATAAAGTATTTGAAAAGAATTTTAGATATGTTATTCAGACTGCAGATGTCTAGAGTAACGTCAAAAATCTTAGTAAAATTCACTTCCGGTCGCGTGTTTTTCCTGTCCTCAAAATGAAAAGTTATCTGAGCGAGATCTCGGAAACGGCATGAGATTAAGACACCAAACTTAAATAAGTAATAGACCTTGAAGAGTAGGCAAAACACATAGGGTTAGACGCGTCAGTCGTCACTTCCGGTCGTCACAGGAAGTGATCAAAAAATCGAAAATTTCAACTTTTCTTTATAAAATTAAAACTTGCATCACTTTGTTGCATCTCTTTCGTGTTTTGAAATATGTTAGATTCCACCGGAAACAAAAACTGCAAACTTCCGGTTTAAAGAGATAAACTACGTTATTTCGATGTTTAGCTTTCTCATAAATATCACTTAAAGATAAGTATTTGAAATGTTTTTTTTATACATATGCTGTAGATACTACAAATGTCATGAGAAAATTCAGAAATTTTTATTCAATTCACTTCCGGTCGTGTGTTTTCCTGTCCCAAAATTAGAATGTGTTCTCACAATTGCTCGGTAAGAGTAAAAGACTGAAGTCTAAAACTTTCAGGACTTATAGTCAGTCATCAGTTCATTTGCATCGTGTAAAAATCGTCTGTCGTCATTACTTCCGGTCGTGACAGGAAATGAAGAAAAAAGTAATTTTTTAAGTTATTTTGTTTCTACATCAGTTTTAGGCTTATACCGACGTTGGAAAAGACATGTTTATGCAAACAGGAAGTAGTATAACGGAAGACCTTCTCATTACTAGTAATGAGTTTCTAGTTATTATTATTATTCTTTTTTTCTACTTTCTTCTCCGGTACTTTTTTGTCCGGGAGTGTTCTCATAGAACCACTCATCCGATTGACATGAAACCTTTTTAGGGTTAATAGGCATGTTGTGTAGGTGTTCGGAACGAAGGTCATTTTGCGTGCACATGCATGCACGTGCGCGCGCGTGCAATGAGTGAAATGACTGATATACTTGATGAAGCCGTAACTTTTATATTTCTTGATGAATTGCTTTGAAACTCAAAATATAAAGATATATTAGTAGTCTAGACAAGATAATACGGTCAAATTAGCGTGAACTCACGCGCATGCACGTGCGCTCTTCTCTGATTGGCTGATACAAAAATTTCAATAATTTCCTTGTTTTTTGACAAAATACTTTGAAATTTAGAATGTAAGTATATATTGTAAGGTGCTACAACATGTTATATAGAAAATTTCTTGAAAACACGCGCATGCAGGTGTGCTGCAATCTGATTGGTTGAAACTTTAAATGTCTATAACTCCTTTGGTTTTCAACAAAACAGGATGAAATTTACGACATGGATAGGCACATAGGGCTCCTACATTATGATACTATCAAAATTGAATGCAAGGCCATGCATGCGCGTATGCTGAATTCTGATTGGCTAATACTTAAAGGGTTACATCTCTCTTATTTTTCAATGAGATTCTTTAATATTTAACACAAATGTATGTATTGTGAGACACTATAAGAAAATTGATGTGAAAAATGTAGAAAACATGTGCAAGCACAGGCGCTGAAATTTGATTGGCTAATACCCATATGGCTACATAGGAGTAGTTTTCCAATGAAATACCCTTAAAAATAAAGTGTCCATCTATATTACAAAAGTATTGTCTAATTTATTGAAGCTTGTAGGGAATTGGGCATCATAAGGGATTGAGGAGCTGTTTGGGGAACATCTGTAACGGTTCCCGTTACAATTAGCACTAGTTTAGAGTCATTTTAAGATATTCTGATGAATGCGCAATAGGATCACATACTCTTTCCTTTGGAGTATTTTTGAATATACATTAACTAATATTTCGTATCTAATTTCAAATAAAACTTGTTAAGGTTCTGTTTCTTTTTAATTTATGTGTCTGTTTATTCAATTGGTCACAGAATGTGATGATGGATTCTTTGGAAAGCAATGTAGTTTTTCTTGTGGACATTGCAAACAATCGAATGAATGTCATCCAATCAATGGAACTTGTATGCATGGATGTTCCGGGGGATATAAAGGACAGTTCTGCAATAAAAGTATATAAGAATTAACAACACATATTGCTACAAGAAATTGTCATCTAAATTCACATCATATCTTAAAAAAATTGGTGCATCTATAAAATAGCCAGCGTTAAAACATATCATATTCATCTTTAAGCTTGTGCAGACGGATATTATGGAGAAGATTGTGTTCACATGTGTAATTATACATGTAAAGGATGTAATAAAACAAACGGTGTTTGTGAAAATGGATGCCATGCGGGTTGGAAAGGGGAATACTGTCATAAAAGTAAGATCTTGGAATCTATTCACATTTTCTTTCTGTGGTCGTTTTGCATTAGTTTTTTATGTAATCATAGTTTGAATGATGTATAATAAGGCATTTTCTCTGACAAGGTAAACTAAAATGCTTAATTCCATTTTATGAATTTCAATCAATAATTACTAAAAAGAAAGATTAGATAGATTTGCACAAAATTCTACTTTTTCTTTTCTTTTTCCTATTCTCAAACAAAATGCACTCCAGTGGATAAACACGACTAATCCATTGTACAATCTCAGGGAAAGATACTTAATAAATAGATATGAAGGCAAAAACTAGCTTTTTGGTAATGTTATTTTCCAGAATGTGACGGGGGAATGTATGGGAATAATTGCAGCATGATTTGTGGAAATTGTTTAAACAAAGAGCAATGTCAGCCAATGAACGGGACATGTATAAATGGTTGCACAGAGGGATATAGAGGGGTGTTCTGCAATGAAAGTAAGACATGTAGAAAACTCTTATCTTCATTTTTCTCCTAAAGATTGTTATAATTCCGTTCGTGGCATGTCCCCAAATACGTAAATGAATCCCATTTGGTAACAAATATGAATGGTTTGCAGCCTGTCAGAGCGGGACATTTGGAAGAAACTGCCTGGATGTTTGTAACAGCACATGTTATGGATGTAACAGAACAAATGGTAAATGTAACAGTGGATGTCATCCAGGATGGAAGGGAGATTACTGTCACCAAGGTAAGCGAGTTTTATGTTACCATTAGGATGTTACCATTATTACATGTAAACCAATAAATCAAAGTTTACATTAGTTAGAATTGAGCTTTTATATTCTAAACTTAAGAACTATATTCCTTTTCACAAAAAATTGAAGTTTTTGTGTAAGATTTTAACTTAAAAATCTCTTACGACAAATCTTAAGTGTTTTTCACGAATGCATTCGTAGCAGATTGAACTTCAGATTTTACTTACGACAGACTTCATCCCTAGCAACGACTTCAATACACTGTATGTGGGTGAAAATAAAAATAAAACTTAGTTTTCAACATTTGTCAGCATAACAAGCATTATTGACTACAAATATCGAATACAATCGTTTGTGAAGGAAGGAAGTTTAAAATCTGACGTTTCAATAACAAGTCTGACGTAAAAGTAGGTCATACAAAAATCTTAAGTGAAACTTACATCATAAATATTTTGTAATGTATTTCATTTAATTTTTCGACAATTAGTGTGAAAAAAAAATAAAGTATTATTGGAAGTTGCTTTAAACAGTTCAATGTAACATGTATTTTGGTTTTTGCGGATATATTTTTACAATAAAATCGTTTTTAAAATACTTAAGAGTGGGTTGGGGCTCTCGTAAAGTTACGACACATTTTGCACTTACTACTTTCTTTTTTCTTTTTTTTTTTCTTTTGTGAAAAAGATTTTTATCATAACCTTTCACTTAAGATAAAAATATGTGGTAAGAATTTTTGTGAAAATGTCCACTGATCTTTGCGTCGCCGGTTTAAATCATATTGAATCGCAATTTAAATCGTCTCGTTGAGAGTGATTTTCAATTTTCCAAATACGACTGCATAAACTGTTGTCCAATGTCTTAATTGTGAAGGATTTGTGAAGAGGAACTCGAGCACAAAGCTTGACACTGTAATGAAGAATATCAATCACCGAAGGCTTTTCCTCTTATAAACTTAAAAAAAAAAAAGACTTTGAAAAAAGTTTCTTCTTTTATATTTTTTCTTCTTTTTTCATACCATATTTCAGAATGTGACAGCGGATTTTACGGAAATAATTGTAGCATGCTTTGTGGACACTGTATGGTCTTAGAACAATGCCACGCTATCAACGGGACATGTATAAATGGTTGTGAGGAAGGATATAAGGGGAACTTTTGTAATGAAAGTAAGTCATACTGGAATTTGAAATATTATTTCTTTTCCGTAATTTTGTTTATATCTTAGCATTTTCTCCAAATTGTATGAAAAATATCTCTAGAGCGTTCGTATGGCTTACAGCCTGTAAAAACGGAACATTTGGAAGAAACTGTCTGGAGACCTGTAACAGTACATGTTATGGATGTAACGCAACAAATGGAATTTGTGAAAGTGGATGTTATCCAGGATGGACGGGTGATTACTGTCATGAAGGTATTTGTATAAATTGATTTATTTAAATATATCTGAGAGTCATAAGTGTGCTTATACAATCAGAACAGTGTATTGGCTGAAATGGTATTATTGACGTGTTACACACTAATCACACGATTAATCATGATTAAATCAACATGCCCTATGATTTTTTTTTTTTTTTTTTTTTTTTTTTTTTTTTTTTTTTTTTGCAATTCAAACAATGTGCATGAGCATATATTTCTTTTTTCACTTTATTTGACAATTAAGAATTTTAATAATTCCAGAATGTGAACATGGATTTTTTGGCGAACAATGTAACGCCTCTTGTGGACAGTGCAGAAAACCAGATGAATGTCATCCAATAAATGGATCGTGCTTAAATGGTTGTTCTGAAGGATTTGAAGGACGATTATGCAACGAAAGTAAATATGAAAGAAAATGAGAAAAATCATATAAAGTTAAAGTTGTATAATTTCGTCACCACGGTTTTAAAAGAAATTAATCGGAAAAAACATCATTCCATAAGACATAACATCCGAATAAGATAAGTTTCACTGTCTAACGCAGCTATGTTAAGGCTTCCCGAAGCTTTAAAATGCGCTCAAAACATAATATGTCATTGCGAGGTCGGTTTTGGTTTTAATTTATAAGTATTGAACTTTAGTACTTCCAATTTATATGAAGGGTTTCCTCGGCTATATATTAGCATATTTGTTATGATATCACATGACTTTTTTGATCACGTGACGGTCATTTATAATTTTTGAAGTGTTTCATATAAATCGCTTCGGCGCAGCTGATTAACACAATAATTATTAACATTTTGTTATATAAATAAACTCATCGTATCCTTGTGTATCCGAAATGTGTTTGGGAAAAGTCGTAGTATTACTTGGGTACAAAATATTTCCTGAGAAATTCAACTAACCTACAAATTTGAGGGTATTTTCCACACAATATCGTAATCTATATTTAAACAAAGCCAACACACATTTTTCCCAAGCAAGATTCAGTTAGAGAAGAACCTCTTCTTACAGATTTCCACAAAAATTCTTAGATTAATCCTCATTAATCACCTGCGCCAGACTCTTTTATACACACAAAATAAATTCTACCTCCAACCACGGGTATAAAACAGAGTACATTTCAAAAGTATATTTTTCATAAGCATTTTGAACATGATGAATTTCAATCAAGGGTAGGTAAGCGGTGTGTTTTTAAAATATTCGGACATATAAGACTTAAAAAACCTTTCACGACCCGTGAATTTTGCAATAGCTATCTAGCATTTTACATGCAGTTTGAAATAAAGTGTAAAGTTCATGACACTCTCCCCGTCATAACACCTCAAGTTTGTAGTGACCTGACGTCATTTTCCATTATGACGTCATATTTTGGTAGTTAAGAGATGTGAAGGCACAGAGTACACTGTCATATTCTACGGGAAGCCTTAACCTACCTGCGTACGTCCAAAAGTTATGAATGTTAAAATTTAGCAATTAACCTAAAAATGTAATACATTTTTTCTCTCTATTCCCCTAGCATGTACTTATGGATTCTTTGGAGAAAATTGTGTCAACAGCTGTAATGATACATGTTTCGGCTGTAATAGGGAAACTGGTATATGTGATAATGGATGTTATCCTGGTTGGAGAGGAGAATTCTGTCATGAAGGTAAAAATAAAATAATAATAATAATAATAATAATAATAATAATAATAATAATAACTAGAAACTCATTACTAGTAATGAGAAGGTCTTCCGTTATACTACTTCCTGTCTGCATGAACATGTCTTTTCCAACGTCGGTATTAGCCTAAAACTTATGTAGAAGCAAAATAACTTAAAAAAATACTTTTTGATTCATTTCCTGTCACGACCGGAAGTAATGACGACAGACGATTTTTACACGATGCAAATGAACTGATGACTGACTATAAGTCCTGAAAGTTTTAGACTTCAATCTTTTACTCTTGCCGAGCAATTGTGAGAACACATTCTAATTTTGGGGACAGAAAAACACACTACCGGAAGTGAATTGAATAAAAATCTCTGAGTTTTCTCATGACATTTGTAGTATCTACAGGATATGTAAAAAAAAAAAAAAAAAACATTTCAAATACTTATCTGTAAATGATATTTATGAGAAAGCTAAACATCGAAATAACGTAGTTTATCTCTTTAAACCGGAAGTTTACAGTTTTTGTTTCCGGTGGAATCTAACATATTTCAAAACACGAAAGAGATGCAACAAAGTGATGCAAGTTTTAATTTTATAAAGAAAAGTTGAAATTTTCGATTTTTTGATCACTTCCTGTGACGACCGGAAGTGACGGCTGCCGCGTCTAACCCTATGTGTTTTGCCTACTCCTCAAGGTCTATTACTCTTTTAAGTTTGGTGTCTTAATCTCATGCCGTTTCCGAGATCTCGCTGAGATAACTTTTCATTTTGAGGACAGGAAAAACACGCGACCGGAAGTGAATTTTACTAAGATTTTTGAAGTTACTCTAGACATTTGCAGTCTGAATAACATATCTAAAAATCTTTTCAAATACTTTATCTATAAAAGATATTTAAGGGAAAGTAAAATACTCAAATTATGTAGTTTTCCTCTTCTAACCGGAAGTTGTCGTTTTTGTTTCCGGTGGGACTGACATATTTCGAAACTACACATAAGATGCAATAATGTGATGCAAAAAAAAATTCAAAAAAGAAAAGTTGAAATTTTCGATTTCTTTGATCACTTCCTGTGACGACCGGAAGTGACGGCTGACACGCTTAACCCAAATGGGCTCGCCTACTCCTCATGATCTATTACTCGTATAAGTTTGGTGTCTTAATCTCTTACCGTTTCTGAGATCTCACTCGGAAAAAATATTTTTGAAAAAAACGGAAATCGGACATATCTGACGACCGGAAGTGAATTTTGACAAAATGAAAAAAACTCCTCGGGGTATTTTCATTCTCTATCAACCCTGAAAATTTCAGGAAAATCCATCCAGTCATCTCTGAGAAATCCTGCCTACAAAAAAAGGGGAAAATAATAATAATAATAATAATAATAACTAGAAACTCATTACTAGTAATGAGAAGGTCTTCCGTTATACTACTTCCTGTTTGCATGAACATGTCTTTTCCAACGTCGGTATAAGCCTCAAACTGATGTAGAAACAAAATAACTTTAAAAAAAATACTTTTTTTGCTTCATTTCCTGTCACAACCGGAAGTAATGACGACACACGATTTTTACACGATGCATATGAACTGATGACTGACTATAAGTCCTGAAAGTTTTAGACTTCAGTCCTTTACTCTTACCAAGCAATTCTGAGAACACATTCTAATTTTTGGGACAGGAAAACACACGACCGGAAGTAAATTGAATAAAAATCTCTTAATTTTTCTCATGACATTTGTAGTATCTACAGGATATGTAAAAATAAAAAAAACATTTCAAATCTGTAAGTGATATTTATGAGAAAGCTTAACATCGAAATAACGTAGTTTATCTCTTTAAACCGGAAGTTTACAGTTTTTGTTTCCGGTGGAATCTAACATATTTCAAAACACGATAGAGATGCAACAAAGTGATGCAAGTTTTAATTTTATAACGAAAAGTTGAAATTTTCGATTTTTTGATCACTTCCTGTGACGACCGGAAGTGACGGCTGACGCGTCTAACCCTATGTGTTTTGCCAACTCCTCGAGGTCTATTACTCTTTTAAGTTTGGTGTCTTAATCTCATGCCGTTTCCGAGATCTCGCTGAGATAACTTTTCATTTTGAGGACAGGAAAAACACGCGACCGGAAGTGAATTTTACTAAAATTTTTGAAGTTACTCTAGACATTTGCAGTCTGAATAACATATCTAAAAATCTTCTCAAATACTTTTTCTATAAAAGATATTTAAGGGAAAGTAAATTACTCAAATTATGTAGTTTTCCTCTTCTAACCGGAAGTTGTCGTTTTTGTTTCCGGTGGGACTGACATATTTCGAAACTACACATGAGATGCAATAATGTGTTGCCAAAATTAATTCAAAAAAGAAAAGTTAAAATTTTCAATTTCTTTCATCACTTCCTGTGACGACCGGAAGTGACGGCTGACACGCTTAACCCAAATGGGCTCGCCTACTCCTCATGATCTATTACTCGTATAAGTTTGGTGTTTTAATCTCTTACCGTTTCTGAGATCTCACTCGGAAAAAATAATTTTGAAAAAAACGGAAATCGGAAATATCTGACGACCGGAAGTGAATTTTGAAAAAAATGAAAAAAACGCCTCGGGGTATTTTCATTCTCTATCAACCTTGAAAATTTCTGAAAATCCATCCAGACATCTCTGAGAAATCCTGCCGAAAAAAAAGGGGGAAAAAATAATAATAATAATAAACAGTACAATCGCTATATGGTCTTCCGTCTGGAACGGAAGACCTTAATAAACAGTACAATCACTATAAGGTCTTCCGTCTGGAACGGAAGACCTTAATAAAAAACATACTCACAAAATCTCCGACTGTATCATGTTTCTGTCTATGTTTCTTCTATACTACAATTTAGTGTTCGATGATTATTAGATATTTTCCCCCTTTTTTTCTCTATTTGTTTATTTATTGATTTAGGCATTCATTTATCTTTATTTTTTTTAAGTTCCTAACGTGGCTTAAGTAGAAAACAAATGACTGATAAAATAAATCGACATTTCATGATAAAAGAACATTCAAGCTTTTGTATGATTATTTTTACCAGAACAGTTTTCCTCGACATTTTTTTTTAATGGAATTTTCTTAGAGAATAAATTAAGCTATTGCCCTGACTTCTCTGAAAAGACTATGAGGTATTCAGAAGACAAAAGTGGTATTGATTGTGAATTTTAATTGTTATAGAATGCAAAGGTGGATTATATGGAATTAACTGCAGCATGCCTTGTGGGAAATGCGTAAGCTCAGAGCAATGTCATCCAATTAACGGAACATGTATGAACGGTTGTGATGAAGGATATCAAGGGACTCTCTGCAATGAAAGTAAGACGTAAAAGACAGATTTACAGTTTCTTGATAAAATTGTTAGTATTTAAAAAATGTGTCAACAGATATAGAGTTAATGTTTGCTACAAAATGTTATACTTTCAGCATGCGAAATTGGAAGATTTGGGAGAAACTGTATGAAGATATGTAACAAAACATGTTATGGTTCTACATGTAACAGAACAAATGGTAAATGTGACAGCGGATGCCATCCAGGATGGAAGGGAGATTATTGTCATGAAGGTAAGCAATTTACCAAAAATAAATAAATAAATAAATAAAAATATTTAAAAAATCCTAGAGTTTATCGGTATTGCTGCATTGATTTTTATTCAGTTCACTTTGCCCAAAGGTTCTTCAGAATTATCAGATAATACAGATGCAGTTTGCCCAAAATCGCCAACTTTTGGAGAAAATGGGGCAACGGTACATTTAGAAGAAGCAGATTTAAATGTGAATGTAATGGGTAAAAAAAAAAAAAAAATCAAAATTAAAAGCTCTGATTACAAATTTAAAAATATAAGCATCCTTTAAAAGCTTATGTATGGAAAGAAAAATTCTTCGAACTGTTACTTCTTGGACCAAGGGTTATATGAAGATAAACATTTTTTTTTTAAATATATCTTTCAACGTCATAAGGATATGATAAATGATATCATGATGTAAATATTTTTGGTAGTACTCTTTGGAATCATAGCCCATTACGTAAGAGTTTGACCATAATAAGGAATCAATAGTTTGAAAAGAAATATTGAGAACTGATCCAGCTAGTGCAAATAAAGATATAAATATGCGAGCATCGTCAGGTAAGGGAAATTCTATTTGGATCATCGGTTGCCCTTGGAGATAGGATGAAACCACAATCGTGGATAAATATTTTATATGGGATTGTGCAAAGCAAAAGTAAACATCTTTGTAATCTTTTAAGAAACAAAGTCATGTTTATCTTATCAATATGCGAGCAAACTTATATTGTCAATACATTTGTAAATTTGTTTAAATGATTAGGGCAGAAGTATGATGGAGGCAAAATAGAGAATTGATATTTTACTTTATGCCAAACACAGGGATATATTTTTACATTGCGTATGTACAGGTATATAGGGTAAAATCATTTGGGAACAGGAAGGGTAATCTTACTCGGTTAATAATTCATACCCAGGGTACATGCATGTAAATTCAAACTTAAATATATCATGACCTCCTGGAACTACATTTGTTCAACAATATGGGAGCATTGTTTTTCATGTGAAGAGGAGTAGGGGATTTATAAGTTTCTTGAACAGCAAGACAAAAATGACCAAGGTGTCCAAATGGATCATTTGATCATGGAATTTTGTCTGGTTAATAGCGAGTTTCAATATGCTCTTTGATAATATCTGTCATTTTTTTATCACTGAAGACTGTGATGATGGGTTCTTTGGCGAAAACTGTAACATGACTTGTGGATATTGCAAGGAGTCAGAAGATTGTAACCCAATAAATGGCTCGTGTTTATATGGATGTTCTAGGGGATATGAAGGAGAGTTTTGCAACAAAGGTATATCAAGCATAAAGTAATGGAATAAATGCATTTCAAAAAGATATTATTAAATTAACAAAGCAGAATAAGCTTATTCAAAAACTTTCTTATCCTTTAAGCATGCAGTCAAGGATATTTCGGAGAAAATTGTGCCAGTACATGTAACGATACATGTAAGGGATGTAACCGAACGAATGGCATTTGTGAAAATGGATGTCACCCTGGTTGGAAAGGAACGTACTGCCATGAAGGTAAATATTCCACAATTTTTACAAAGTCACAATCTCAGAGTTTACTTTCCTCGGGTGCTTTCAAGAAAAAAATCGTTATTATAAAAAAAAAAAAAAAAAAAAAAAAAAAACACAAGTAAAATTTAAAGTCAATACATTTGCACAGCTGATAATATTCTTTTTAAATCTTAGTATGTAACAATGGATTTTATGGAGATAATTGCAGCAGGGTTTGTGGAATTTGCTTGAGGTCCGAGCAATGTCAACCAAATAATGGGACGTGTCAAAATGGTTGTGATGAGGGTTTTAGAGGGATATTGTGCAATGAAAGTAAGATATGCTGGAATAATTTAAATTCGTATTTTGAAACATTATAAGTATTTATTTCAGTTTTTCGCCTTTATTGCAAATACACGTGAAAATACCATTTAGTCAAATAATAAGATGTTTTACAGCATGCAGGATAGGAACATTTGGACGAAACTGTCTAGAAACCTGTAACAGTACATGTAAAGGATGTAATAGAACAAATGGTATCTGTGACAATGGATGTCATCCTGGTTGGCAAGGAGAATTCTGCAATGAAGGTGAGGGCCTGTAAGCAAATCCCAATTATTTTTTTTTTAAATAATTCTGCTACATGAAATTGCTGAAGCAGAAGAAGCTGTATGCAATCCACATCAATGTGTTTAATTCAATGATAACGTACATTTCAATACAGTACTTCACAGTCATTATAGCGCAAACATATAGAATATTTACATTAATGTCATCACCTTTACGTTAGATATCATTGTGCATGCACATAATGAGGGTGACCAAGAAAATGATTTATGTTTATGACACACAGCGCAGGAGATCCTGAAAAAAAAAAATCTTTTCAAAGCCCTATTTCATTCGGCGTTTGTGAAATAGTTTGATCGATATGAACAATCCATACATTAAGCTAATTTTCAAGGGGGGGGGGGGGGGGATGACGACATATCTTGCAATATAAATACTTAAGAGGCTGATTGTCGAATGTTCCAAATCTTGTAAAGTCCAACATAAATATTAAATATTTGTACAAGTCTTGCATATATAAAAGGGAAAAAACTTTAATTTGAAAGAAATTAACATGGGACAAGGAGATTTTTAAATCCTGTTATTTTCTTCGAAATCGGGTTCAACCTTTCATCTTCCATGCACTTTTTTTTCTATTTAAGGAGGGGTTCTTCTCATAAGAACACTTTTTTCTTATTTTAAAAATCAATGAAATTTTCAAGAATCAAGGAGACAATATCAGTAAGTAATGATATTAGTTAGATTAAATTTGACGGTTTTATATTAGAGGCAAGGTCAGGTCAAGTTCAGTACCTTTTCCCTGGACATAAAGAATAAAAAAATTACTGTTGCCAATCATGTGATGCCTACTTCTATTTCAATAAATTAAATGTTTTTCTTTTTGCATAAAGAGCTATTACCATATAGGGTCAATAAGATGATTTACCAAATTGACATAAATAATTTAACTAAAATGGATATTGGCTAATCCGAATTTTCTCTATTTTTCTTAAAATTTTAAGATATTTTAGTTGTTTTTATATGCTTCCTATATTTATTTTTTCTTCTTCTTATTTTCACATATGGTAAAGTTGTCACATAAAGATACAAAATGATTTAAAAACAAAAAGTTTACTAAGAGAGAAAAAACACTTTTTACGGATTTTTGGCTCAAATCTGAACTTGGATTGGAAGCTTTTAAAGGCTAACATAATTGTAGTTTGTTTGGAAAATCATATTTATTTGATATATTTTAAAACTGTAGTCCCTTATTATTAATTTAACTTACATTTAAAAATTTTCTCCAAGTCTTTGATTGTGTAAAAATCATAACTAAGTTCATTGTTCTATAATTATTTTGAGAGGCAGAAAAGAAGATATTTTCATACGCCGCCTTTCCGCCAAAAATATAGTCCCTGCTAGATTTCAAACTCAGTTTACCACTTCTATTTTAAGTTGTACAATTGTGATGAGGAAAGAAAAATATGATCTTTTAAGTTTCTTACATCTAAATATATAAAACATATAAGCAAATATACTTTGAATATTTCATCTAGTCAGAAACCAGACGAGAATCCCTCCTTAATATAAAGTCTATATAAAAAAATACTAAATGAATATACTGGTCAGAGCTTGCTCTTAGTATGACAACATTTAAAAGCAAGGCATGCCACTCACTGATAAATTGATGTTACAGGGATTTCAATATGATCGTTTGAAGTCAGAATTTGGTAATTTTTTGGGGCTTTATAATGATTTTCTAAGCAAATATTCGACTACGCTCTTTATTCTTGATCAATTCATTGGTGTCACGGCGGATGTAACCAGAAAACAGGGGATGTTAACTCCTCCTGGAAACTTGATCGCACCTGTGGAATATCCAGGGGTTCGGGTTATAAGCCCTCTTTTCATATTTGTATTGTTTATAGATTTTTTTAGATTGATCACCGTTCATTATTTTCACCTATTAAATTTACTTTAAAATTTCAAATGATTAATTTCCAGAATGTGATGATGGCTTCTTTGGAGAGCAATGTAGTATGACTTGCGGGCATTGCAAAGATTCTGAGGAATGTCTTCCTATAAATGGGACGTGTTTAAATGGTTGTTCCGAGGGATTTGAAGGACAGTTTTGCAATGGAAGTAAATAAATGAAATGATTTTTTTTTTGCAAATGTATACATATATAAAATAACAATTTAAACAAATATGGTACACTACTAAAAAACGTAATTTCACTTGCAATCTTAAGAAAAAGGTGTATTTCATTTTTCTTTTCTAATTTTTGTCATGAAGCTTGCACTGAAGGATATTTTGGAGAAGATTGTGTTCAGGAGTGTAACAATACATGCAGAGGATGTAATGGAACAAACGGAGTTTGTGAGAATGGATGTTTTCCTGGTTGGAAAGGCAATTATTGTCATAAAGGTAAGAGTATTATAGGTTTTGCTCTAAGAATCGGTTCTTTAATTAAAGTGATGAACTATCTTTTTAACCCTTTAACCCCCAGAGACGCATTTGGACGCATTTTCAGCATTACAGATATTTAACTGTCGGCGTTTTCTTAATATTCGGATTACAACAAAACAATTGATATTTTCTGAAACTAGAGAAGAAACTTAACATTTTTTTTTTACTTAAAGTTTTTCTGTGCGATGTTGAGATATTATCATAAACTTGAATTGAATATTGCATATCATTGCAGGAAGTTGATTAAACTACGCATAAATGACTGATTTTGTGCTATCTTCTGTTGGCTTTATCTTAATTACAAACAAAATAAAATAAAAAATGAATGCCATAACCTGAAAGCTGGGAATTTTCCCTAGATTATTTTTTTCCGGACATTATAGGGTACATGAATCAGTTACAGAGATATATGTCGTTGGATATTGGAACTTTTACGAGTAAAACAAACAAAATGCACTATGACGTCATTTTACGTTTTACATACACAATGAAATCCTTCATGAGCTCAGTGTAAAACAAACTGATTCTTTTGATATATGAAACAGATTCATTTTTTTCAAAAATGAATCATTTGCAAAGAAAAGTTAATGTACGACACGTTTTGAGCCATAAACATGTAATAAAAGGATTTTTCCATAGCTTTGAAAGATATATACATGTATTAATAGTCTTTGGCCCAACGCCCCGATTGCGTGCACCCATTGTATCAGAAATCCCTGTCAAATTTTGTGTCAGTCCTACATGTAGTAGGAATAAATAATCAAATAATTAAATATTATCCTTATCTCTTTTCTAATGTTCAGATTTATTATTAAAAGTGAAAAAATAATATAATTTTTTTTCTAGTACTTGGTGTACTTTGAAAGGAAAAGACGAGTGCATTTTTATTAAAGCGACAGGATAGATAACGCAGTTAGCCTTTATTCTATGATTAAAAGATGAAAAAAAAAAACCTGTCACAATGAAAAAAAAAATATATCAAAAGTACAATGTAGTACGTCGTAAACGTAGCGAAACAAACAGCCGATTTTTATCAGATTGCTATATTTATAGAAATAACTTCTTAATAAACACACTGGAAACTCGGGTTTCTTTGTTCGTGTTAAATTCATGTTTTAAGTCATCACAGAGCTAAGAACAAATCTATATCAAACTGGATAAAGTGGAAAACTTGGGATAAACTAACAAATTCTCCCTCATAACTTATCCTTTACAGATTAGCCGGGATTACAAGTATGTGTATTGAGGAAGCTGAAAAGTTAAATCCACTGCTACAACAAAAATAAAACGGGGCAAGTATGTAAAATATTTGCCAGAACATCTCGCAAAAATAGCAAAATGCGCTATTGGATGAATATAAAAACCACCATTTAACTATTTTTTAAAAGCTGTGGAAAAATGTTAATGAAAGTACAATCAAAAGTATTCGGAAACTATGCCTAAGCTCTATAATATTGGTAAACCTTTTTTTTTCACTATAGAAATGAACGGAAAATATTTTTAAAACACCCCCTTTCCTTTCTTCAGCGATTATGAATTATTATTTAACAAATGTATACCAAAGCTCTTGTTGTTTCACGGGGGGGGGGGGGGGGAGGGGGGGTATGTTTAAAGATAAATTTACATGAGTTAAACGTATGGAACAAATGAAGGATTATTTATCCATGTCCATGAGTATTTTAAAATCTGAGTACTATTTTAAAATTTGGTGATGTTTTAAAGCCTGATTTCAATAGATATATCTTTAGACCCCTTATAAAAGAATTGAGTTAAGAACAATTAACAATTTCACACTGGTGTTAATACTGTTATATTGTAATTTTTGAATTTACCGGGTGGTAGTTAACAACAAGAGGCCCATGGGCCACATCGCTCACCTGAGCTCATCGGCTAGGAAGAAGTAGAAATCAGCTCAGTATTGAACGGGGAAAGGGGGGCAAACTTTAATTTAAATTACCTCAGGATGCTTCCATATCAATATTACTAATCATGGCTTTGCTGTTCTTAAACAGAAGAATTTGAAAGATTTTTTTCCTAAGTTTTCCACCCTCACGGAAAATATTCTTTAGAGCTCTTGCTCCGTGATTGGAAGGTAAGGGGTTCGAGCTTCGGCCGCGACTGACCTAAGTCGATGAAAAATAGGTAGCGACTGTACCTTCGCCAAGCGCTCAACACTTTGAAGTGAAAGTTGCGGGTCATTCAGATGAGACCTTTATAACCGAGGCCCTGTGTTACGGCAGGCGTAGGCACGATGAAGATCCCTCACTGCTCAATGGCCCTCGGCACTCAGCCGAGGAAAGGTCTAAATTTGAAGCCCTTCACCGGTATATGGTGACGTCTCTTATGAGTGAAAAATTCTTGAACGGGACGTAAAACAAAATACATTCAATCAATCCTATGTTTTCCTATGCAAAACTCTGATTTCTCTTTGTGGTCCCACACTACCCACCATAAATTTAACAAATTTGAATCAACACTTCCTGAGGATGTTTCTACAATAATATGACTAATCATGGCTTTGCTGTTATTGAGCAAAAGATTTTTTCAAGATGATTCCTATATTTTTTTTCTTATG